GTATATACATGCACATAGAAGGGACCACATAGTGATGACCCACAACCACATTATGGAAGCACAGCAGTTTCCTCATTTATAATTTATAATTTTAAAACACCTGATGATGACCTCATACGTTGAAACGTGTACTAAATAACTCTTAGAAAGTTCTATAGAAGGATGTGCTGCACATGAGACTGTGAAACCATCTGATGCTATTTCTAAATGGTGCTCCATAAGGAAGCAAATTTTAGTTATCGTTACATGTCCACGATTCCACATAGCAGATAGCTATCCATCCATACTCTTTGTGCATTCCTTTTCTGCTGACTACAGACATACACAGTAGCTTCAGTCCTGGAACAGAAGTGAATGCTGCAACTGTGTGGCAAGTCAGATGGAGCCTCCTCATAAAACACAGCATATTTGTTCATTTGTCATTAGGCTGGTAGACATAGACACAGACCATGGGTTGGAAATTGGGAGAAATTGATGACTTCAAGCAGCAGACCAACTTAAAATTTGGCCAGCTGTTAGTATAATCAGTGACAGGAGCTGCAGATATTACAGAATGTTTAAGGGCAAATGGAATGCGCCCCATCTGAAGGAGATTATTTTTTTTTTCTTTATTTCCAGTTGATGAAACAGATGAGCTCAACAGACACCCACTCGGAATGCTTAGTCTCTTACAGCAGAAGCAGAAAGAAATGCAGTCTCCATTCATGGTCCTTAGTGGCGGTAAACAAACATGAGTATGCTTTTTATCTGCATTCATTTAAAAGAACAACCAGTTGTAATTAAAAAAGAATTGTATTCATTAACTGACAGGCTTAGCCATGAGAACACAGATTACTAGATGAAACCAGTGAACTCAGTTCAAATTTGTCTAATCTTGACACTGCAATTAACAGTAATTCATAGCTTTAACTTAAAGGCTGAGTAGATGGGAAGCCATATAGTAATGTCGATAATGTCATATGGTGATTATTCTGCTGCAAAGTAAATATTTGTTTTTCTCTGAGCATGTCACTTGTCTTGTTATAATTTGTATACTGTCCACTATAAAGTGTCACTTTAATGACGGATTGATTAATAAGACTTTCCTCCTTGGTACTGTGAAGCTTTACTAAAAATTTCTGTTTTTGATGCAGAATATGAAATTTCATTTTCAAAAAGAAAACCACCATGTGAGGTTTTTGTGAGATCTTCAAGTTTAACATGAGCATTACTACATTTTATTTATTTATTTCTTTTTCAGGGCAACCATCTGAAAAACAAAACTGCAAATTCTTCATGAAATATGCTGGCACCACCTCTGAACTTTGGCGTGTTTTTATTGTTTCTTACTGTCTGGAATATCATCTCTCTTTTTAAATAAGACACAGCTTGCAGCTGCCAACAGTGCCTATGTGTACTGGAAGGAAGGCCACAGAGTTCATGTCACATTCAAATGAGTACAGTGGTTCTCCTGCTTCCTTAGGTAACCTGTTGGCACCTGTAAGCTGGAAAGTACAATTTCTAGTGATTAGTTGCTTGTTTAAAGGACTTTAGCCAGATGAACAGCCTCTAAGCTCAATCAGACATGAAGTAATTATATTTGTAATTTTCAGTGAATGCATCCTATTGTGTATCATATATTATTTCTTACTGAAAACCATCACAACACAACAATCAATAATACTTGTAAGTACCTCTACGAGGTACTTTTGCTACATGTTTCGGCCTTCAGAAGGCCATCATTAGGCAAATACGTTAAGCTTTTCATTATTGAATTGCAATATCAGTTAAGATGGGCGGTAGGATTACTTACTGGACACTCCCACCTCAGAGGACACCTTTCCAAACTGGGACTGACAGACGACCTAACTTATGAAAGGTGCCTACAAGAACATTAATCAGCCACACACGTCTTATGTGACTGTGAGGCTATAGCTTACCTAAGATATCGCCACCTGGGTAAGTTCTTCATGGAACCAACTGACTTTCATGATGCCCCCATAAATAAAGTCCTACGTTTTATTTGAAGTGTAGGATTAATAAAGGGTTAATTCAAAGGGGAAGCACAATAGATCATTGAAGGTCGCGGTGCAAGGGCCGGTTTTTATGGCTCACCCCTCATACTCATACTCATACTCATATTGAATTGCATGTCAAATATAGGATATAGTGCTAAACTTCTGAGTGTAGACAGTGGTATAAAATGCTATGAGTGAATATAAAATATAAATTACAATAAAAGTTGAAGTCTTAAAATAACCAATTACATAGTCAAAAGTACAGTTTAATGCTGTTTATGTGATGATATTTGGAAGTTGGCAGTTGTAATCATAATGTATGTAATGTTTATACGGACATACTATATACACAATGGCTGATGTAGTGTTTGGAAGCCTGTTGTGTGTTATTATTTAATATTTGATACTATTTGACGGGCGACTCAGTTGTGTAATGCCCAATATGATGGATAGATGGATTACAACTACCTATCCATCAGGCTGGACATTACACAACTGAGTCGCCCGTCAAATAGTATCAAATATTAAATAATAACATAGAGTGGGCCTCCGAACACTACATCAGCCATTGTGTATATAATATATCTGTGTAAACATTACATATATTACGATTACAACTGCCAACTTCCAAAT